AAAAAAAAAAAAAAAAAAAAAAAAAAAAAAAAAAAAAAAAAAAAAACCACACAGAGTGAGTCTTCACAAATCTAGGTAAGGCAAAGCCTTCTTTGAACATTAAAAGTGCAAGAGAAAGAAACCAATGATTGGATGCCATTAAAATTAAAAATGTTTGAGCAAGACAGCAGTGTAGAAATTTCTGGCACGTATCCCTTCCCAGAAACAGCAATCTGAACAACTATCCACATGCCAAAGGAAAAAAGAAAAGAAAAACAGACAAATGAAAAACCTTCACAAAGGGTAAAGATTCCAGGTGAAGGATTAAAGCACGTGGTAGGAGGATAGAACTAAGAAAAGACATAGTAAAGAGGGTAGGAAAAAAAGTTTCACATTATCTCCATCGCTCCTCCCCCAAACCCAGGCAGTCCAGTGAAGAGAAAAACACCCTGTCCATGGGGAAAGGTGCATCAGGTAAGCACCGACTTCATCACAGACCCAGCACTACACCCACATCAGCTCTCACAGTCCCAGGAGGCTCCTGTGAACATAGGATCCTGGGCCACTCAAATGCCAGGCCAGCACCCCATAGATCTAGACTCTAGACTGGTTTACGTGGACCAAGGCTCTTGATCTACCCCAGTGCCAAGCCAGTACCCTATAACCTCAGTCTTCAGGTTAGCCCTCACAGACCCAACCTCCAGGCTGACCCCATGGGATCAGGCTACACTCACTTCTGTGGCCCCTAACTCCAGGCTCACTCTGGTATCAAGTTGGCTCCATTTATTCTCCAAGACCAAAATGAAAACCAAGAAAAAAAAAGGAATTATTATTTACTATTCTTTATACATTCTCTCCACTTACTTCATTTTATACCTTTGGTCATGCTATCCCTTACCTTGAAACATCTTTACCAACCCTCAATTCCACATAGCCAAATCTTAGCTATACCTCAAAGTTTTTCTTAAATGTTAACTCTTTCAGGAAGCCTCCAAGGCAAGAGTAGGAACTTTCTCATCTCTGAATACCTCTAGTACTTTATGGCTATTTTTTATGCCATTTACTACCTTGTATTATAGTTATTTTTCAGCCTGTTCTGATCCATTTCTTCTATTTCAGTTCCCAGTAATTGATACATTAGCTAAGGGGCTTTATTTTGCCTGAGATTTTCTGTCACTTCTAATGTTCTCCTATCAACAGTTCTTTTGTGTTTATTCTATGAAAGGATGTCTTTTGTTATTTTATGTATTTATTCATATTTTCTGTCAATTGTTTTACTGTGCCTTTTATTAATTATATAGTAGCACACAAATGAGTCTCATGTTTTGGCCTATCAAAATCAACAGTGACATGAAGCCACCTGAATTTTCTTTGGGAAACTTACTCTTGTCCCAAGGAATCCTGTTGAGGTGAGTGATGGAAATCCAAAAAGGAACATAGAATGAGGAGGGAAACAATTCCCATTGTTTCATGCCTAGGACTAGATAAGAAATCATAGGGATGGTTTTCCTCTGCTGCCTTCTGAACTGAGGAATGATTTTTAAAGTATTTGCATACATTACAAATAAGAAGGAGAGCTTCCAGCTTCTAGCAATGCTTCTTCCCAACTAAAATGAATTCATAGAAAAGAAGACTGCGGCAGTATTTGCATTTCAGATTGACTAGCAGGCCTATCCAAACTTGTTCAGCTGGTCAGCTAATGCTGATGGCTTAAGACATCAATGTATTGTCAAGGAGAACTTATTACAATTAAATTCTCACACCCCACTCCCACCATGGCACGTACCTCATGGCCATAATCTGGATTTATAACACAGCTTTAGAACTGGGAATAATCTGGCTTCAAATAAAATATCTAGGTAACCTAAGAAAAATATTTCTTTCCATTTTGCAGTAATACAAACTTTTCATCCAAGTCCCATAAAACTCAAATCCTGCTACTTCTGTGCCAATCCATAGTTGAGAAAACTTGAGTTTTAAAGATTGGAAATGTACTGAGTTAGTTTTCCTGACACTGCAATTGGCTGTTTGCATGCCCATTAGGTTTACTTCCCAAATGTACTGTGAGTTCAAAATCACTTGTGCCCTGTGAATATAATCAGGAAATGTCACTGGGGCATGAAAGAGTCCAGGACAACAAAAGCTCACACACTGTAGCCTAGGGAACTTTATTTTGCATTTTTACTCCCTCCCAGTGGAGAATAAACTCCCAATTATAAAAGGAATACTAGTATGAGAACTTTGTCCTATTTCATTTGCTTGGGTTTAATGCTTAAACCCATTAGATGCATTTGCTCACAGCAATTGTTGCTGACACATCTCAGAGTATAATCAAGTGAATTGATGTTTCAAAGTTAGTAGATAGTGATCAAGGACAGACTATACCTAAAGAATCAGTTTTCTGTGATGGGAAAGGGGAAGGTGGGTGTTAGTGCCCAGTTTTCCACAATTCACTAGTTCACTAGTGCAGCATGTTCAATCATGGGAAGCTGCTCCTTTATGTTTTTGTTGTTCTTGTTTGTTTGTTTTGTTTTTTGTTTTGGGTTTTTTTCTTTTGTTTTTTGCTTATAAAATTATTCTGGAAAAAGACAAACATTTACAAGATAGATAACCAAGGATTTCACTTTGCCTTCATGGATCCTACATAACCTAGTGATTCTCTACAGTTCTGAATTCAAGATTCCTTATGTTGCTATGGGGAAAACAATGAAGGTATAAATCATTAATATCTAAGCTCAAACCATAATCAACCCATTTTGGCCAGTTTATTCAAATACCTGCTTAGTCTAGTAAAAACTAGTACAGGTAAGTTACTTGCCCAAAGGTTTCCTTCCAAGTGAGGCTTACCATCAGAATACCTTGGGGAGGTTCAATAAAACATTCATATTCCTAGGCTCCACCACAGCCTTAGAATCAGAATCTTGAGGAATTTGGGTGATTAAGATGCATATGTAAAAATCACCCTCAAAAAATTCTGACTTAGGGGCACCTGGGTGGCTCAGTCGGTTGAGCGTCTGACTTTGGCTCACGTCATGACCTCGTGGTCTGTGAGTTTGAGCCCCGCGTTGGGCTCTGTGCTGACAGATCAGAGCCTGGAGCTTGTTTGGGATTCTGTGTCTCCCTCTCTCTCTGACCCTCCCCTGTTCATGTTCTGTCTCTGTTCTCTCTCTGTCATGTTCTCTCTCTGTCTCAAAAATAAATAAACATTCAAAAAAATAAAAAAAATAAAAAAATAAAAAATTCTGATTTATAGCTAGTTCTGAGGACCAAAAAGCAAACCACCCTTCTTTAGCTACTGGTCTACGGATGTTGAAGAAATATCGCAGTGTTCTTATAGTTCCTTAAGTTTTGATTAGCTTATTCCTTTTATTGTTTATGAAGGAAGTAAAGTATGGCAAGTAATAAGTTTTCTAATTCAGTAAATTGATTGTTGCCCCCTGCTCCCTAATAGTCCACAACACTGCCTCATTTTCTGACATTCCAAACATACACTTTTTATCTTGTTATAGTGGCGTATGTAAGCATAATTAAAATATTGAAATTATTCTCTTCCTCAATGGTAAGTTGCTCAAAATTCAAATTTTTTATGCCCCTACAACATATTTTACAGTTTGAGGAGCTTACATTGTAGTAAAGATACAATAAAAAGTAAAAAAAAAAAAAAGATATAATTTTAAGTAGTGGTAACTGCCATAATAATAATAATAATAAAGCAAGATATGGAGATAAAAACTATAGGAATGATGGCAAGATTCAGGGAAGGCTTTTCTGAGGAGGAGACATTTCAGATAAGAAAACAGTACCTGTTATATTTTTATAACTGGAATAAATATTAATTGAATGAATGGATAATGATAAGGAAAGAAAGGGGAGGGTAAAAAGGGGAAGGTTATGAAGGGTAAGGTCTCATAAAAGTCTGTACTATGAGCCTATACAGAAATACAATTTTGATATGTCCTAGGAATGCCAAGAAGATCAGTATGACTGAAGACGTATCAGCTGAATGAATTAGGTGCCTAGTGATAGGATATAAGCTATGAGAAATAGGCTGGAGCTGAACAAAGTGGGCCTTGGAGGTCATGATGGAGTTTGGACTTTATTCTATGGACTGATGGAAAATTACTGGGGAACTTTAGTCAGAGAGGTGGTAAGATTTGATTTATGTTATATAGAGATTGCTCAGGCTGCTGTGAAGAAAATGGATTAAGGTATACAAAAGTAAAAGCACAGAGATCAGACAAGAGACCATTGCAGTGTTCCAGGACATGGCAGAGGTTGCAAACTTGGTGAAAAGAGCTCAAATTCTGCATATAATTATAAGGTGGCCCAATAGATGTTGCTAATGGATTGGCTATGGAGGTGAAAGGAGAGAGGAGAGTCACCAACAACTATGTATTTGGCTTGAGAAACTGGGTAGATGGTATTACTGGTGAGCTCAGAAAAACTAAGGAGAAGCAGGGTGAGGAGGGTGAGGAACCCAGAGTTCTGTTTTGGACTTATAAGATCAAGATATCATCAGGCTTCAAGCCAGATGTTACTCCAGGCAGTTGGATTCACAAATCTGAGGCTCAGGGCTTTGGTTGGACAGAGAGGTTGAAAATTATCAGCATAGTACACATCTGAATTGGTCTTGCACCCTCCCGCCTGCTTTTCTGCTTTCTTTTCTCTAATCTCCATAATTATTCCCATATTTTCTCTTTCACTACCATTCTCACTGTTCCTTTGTCTCCTTTGTCCTATATGCATACTTTTAGAATAACAGGCCTCATTTTTTTCTATATATATTTTTTCACCATGGAATTTGTTACTTTCAGCTTAGAAATACATGTTCCCACCAGAAGATGTGAATCTACTGTTAAACTTGTCAAGTCACTACCCACTCTCTGGTCTTCAGTGTTTTCTTTGGTAAAGCAGATGACAGTAGATGGGGAGATAGTGGGATGCCCTGTGTCCCACTTTAAGCCTGTTAGATCTGATTCCATCATTGTTGTAGATGATAATGTTTAGATAGGATCACATTCAACAAAAGTGTGTATGAACAGAAATGGAAGTGTGGAATCCACTGGAATCATTTTAAAATGACAAATGATTTTAAGTTACTTGATTCAATTTTCCATGTAACTTACGTGGGCCAAGGAAATTCAAGCAGAAGTGATTGTGGTTTAAAGCCTAAAATTAAGGCTTAATATTATGTTCTGTCTTGGTATCTTTAAAAATCAAGAGGGCTCCAAATGGCCTAATCATAAGCTCCTTTTCCCCCTGCTTCCTCAAATAGGATCCCTTAGCCAAATAATCCTTCTTATCAAAGGGGTCAAGGGCAGTCCTTTTTGTAGCAGGTTTCAATTCTTTGCCAGAAATTATTCAAACAAGCCAATTATGAAATTACTTAATTCATTAATTATGGAATGCCAAATACATAAATATTCAAGCAAATCAATGATATCCTCCTGTGGGAACCAGGGGCGTCTCATCCCCTAGACATGACAAAGTGTGCCTGCCATAGCCCCTGCTTGCCCAGTGTGTTCCTGAGTGCAACTCTCATGTGACTCTGCATTATGTGCAGTGTCCTATTCCCCTGGGTAGTGGGTATAAGTGACCAATAAACTCCTGTTGATTTTATTTGTCCAGGGTAAGGGGTTACATATTCAGTCATTTCCATAACCCTACAGTGGGAATCCCTCCCTTAACAATGGGTGAGTAGGAAGCATTTCAAATAGTGATGTAGAACACATCTGTGTGAAAAATTTTAAAGCTAGTGTATGCCTTTTATCACTTTCTTTTTTCACTGGACATCACAATGTCCCAGACAGGGGCTGCTCCTTCAGCCTGAGCCTAATTAAAGAGGCAACCCTGACAGACAGACAGACAGACAGACAGAAATGAGGAACTAACCTTGCTCAGTACAAACCCAGAGAATTTGGAGTGTTTGTTACTTCGGAGTAATTTAGAATAACTCAACATAACTTAGCCTAGGCCAAGTTGAAACAGACTTGTGATGGGAGCAAAGGCTAATGGCAAATAGGGAGCTTATAGGTTCTGGGATACCAAAGAGAAGAGGAAACAAACTGCCTTAGTTCTGTACCCAACACAGCTAGTTTATATTCCTTGTTTCTTTGATTTTAATCTCTATCGCAACCTTATATGGCCAATATTTATCTTTCACCTTAGATAAGGTTAGGAAACTTGCTCAGCATCAAACATTTAGGGTAGGATTTCTCAGTGTGAGTGCTACTAACATTCTGGGCTAGATAGTTCTTTTTTGCAAGGAAATAAGAGGAAGCAGGCCCTCCTGTGCATTGTAGGATGGCCTCTTCCCAGAAGCACCTTCCCAGTCATGACAATCACAAATGCCTCCATACATTGCCAAATGTCTCCTTGGGGACTAAAATGAGCCTGATTGAGTAGAGTGCAGTA